AACAAATGAAATATTATTAGTGTGATGACCATTCTTTCAAAACCCATCTAGATCAAAATTTTCAATTTATTCGAAAGATTAACCATGATAGAAAAAAAGAAACCTTAAAATTTTAAAATTACTATCATGGTTAAAAGAAATAAACATATATCACAAGCAAAGTCGATAAGTAACTTGGGCTTTGGACTTTCAAAGTCCAGAAATATTATTCAACCCTTAACCCAAATAAAACTCATACTTTCAAAAGAGTGTCATGTGTAAAGTCTTAGAAACCTCTAGCCTTCTAACGGCCTTCTCATCAAATAGCAGTAATCAAAAGTATTAATTTACAATATCAGAATCGATGAGCACTATGTGACAATATATAAATACTCATCACATGACAAAAAGAAAGCTATACATATAGCTAAACTTCCGCCATCTTTCCTAACAGACTAGCCCTAGAGCTATTACCTAAAAATGTTAAACCACGGGGGTGAGATAAACGTCTCAATAACCAACTTTCCAACTCATCATACATATTAAGATGTGCTTATGAGATGTCAAGTGGGACAATTATCAATTCTCGAGAAATATAGATAAATCTATAAAAATATAATTTTAATCATCTAATCCCTCACTATGGAGGCCAACACACAAGCCATATAAATCTGTCCCTCACTATGGGGATCAATCAGACACATAGGCCTATCTCTTATTTTGGGAGACGAATGAGAAGCCACAAAGACTTATCTCTTACTATGGGAGACAAAAGAAGCCAACAAATGTGCACCAATGACGGTCTTACCACCCGAGGCTCAATCTAAAATCCAAATAACAACCAATTATTCACAATATAACAAAAAAGTCTCAATTTTTTCTCAGTATAATCCATAAGATATAAATCATATATCTTTTCTAAACTTCTCAATTACAATTCCAAAAAAAAAATCTCACAAGATGATTTTCATAGCTCAAAAGGTATAACATACCTACTCGAGTTTCAAATAACACATTATTATTCTAAATTAGCAAAATACTCACAAACAACATATTAGCACATATACCAAGTGTAAAGTAATTACCTCGCGCCAAAGCAATAGTAAGAATTACTATAAGGTCAATTCTTTGCTCAATCAATAATTAATCTACACAATTAATATAACCACATATTAATATGAGCTAATTAATTAATAATTAATCTTATATATTAGTTAAATTTCTAATTTAATTTAATTTACATTCTAAATTCTCACAACTCTCATAGCCCAAAATTAAGTACTTTAGAACTAACTTATAATATTCTAATAAGTCAAATTATTTATTTACATCCTCCAGATTATTTACTTCAATAAAAAGAATTTTTTCAATATTTCTAAATATGAAATTATTATATTTTAAATTCTAAAAATCCCATTTGAAATTTAAGCTTCAAAACTAAACCACAAAAAAATTCAATAATACTTCAAATATTAATATATAAAAATAATCTAATCAAAATTTTAATGGCATTTATATATATTTTCATAAATAATAAACTTTAGCTAAAATAATTATTTTAAAACCTCCAATCACCCAATAAATAAAACTAAACTGATTAAAATCTCAATAATATGTCAAACAATCCAAATTATTTAACTTAATTTTAATCAGTATAAATATGATATATCTCATAAATAACATTTTTTAATTGAAAATTAATTTTTAAATATTAAAATTAACAAATGGACAAATCTAAACTAGTAGAAATAATCTCTTATGACAGATCTATAATACTGTGGTTAACACTTATCAAAACTACATACTTGCTTTAAATTCTATATTAAAAATTTTCTCTAAGCAACACAAAATTATTATTACTAGATAGATTTGACTGAGTAAAACAACTTTCATGAAAGAAGTTTTATAATTAAAAGTAGTTTTACTTACCAAAATGATTTAAAATGATAGAGAAAGAAACGGAAGGGAGAGAACAATGCTGCAAGCTAGAACGCGGAGAGAGAGAGAGAGAGGGAGAAGAGAAGAAAAAGAAGATGGTAAAATAATTTTTAAATATTTAAATTCTTGAAGTAAAATTTAATACGTTACACTTGAAATCTCCAGAAAAGATATCTCCCTTAGAGACATCCCAGCACTAATCATCACTATCAAAAATCATGGCTACAGTTTCACATAATCTCCTCATAATCCATGTCCACCGGGAAGGAAAAATCAGACTAACCATTACAACACATCTTCCAGGAAAAGCAATCAGATCATACCACAACAAGGATTTCACAGAGAAGCTATTAGAAGATAGAGTATTAGAACATTTTACCTCACGAAGCCCAACCAAATGAATCCATTGGAACAGATATATGACAAGTTGTTGCCAAATTGGGGTAGATATGAGAAACGTCAATCCAATACCCACAAGTCTTAGAAGGTGTATGAATCGATGCCATTGAAAGCAAGATTTTTGACTTTCGATTGATTCAATCCCTGATCCTCTGTTGCTCCACAGAGCTTTTTGATTTCCAATCGACTTGCTATTAGTACTTCTTTGCATAAAGTAGATATCATATTTTACCATTGTTGAATAAGTTCTCATAGATCCAAATCCTTCCGTCGACCATTCTGCTTCCGTTGTCGCCATCTTTTCTTAGGCTCTTAATCGCATCATCTCCTGATCTTTCTCCTTCAAATCCCTAACCAAGATAGCCTCAGATTTTCCGATTCGCTTCAGATCTAGACATGCCGCTGTTAACACACACACGCACCCACCAACTCACACACGCCAGACTCACTCTCCCCCGACCACCGCCGGGGAGAGGATGCCGATGGAAAATGCTCACTATGGGGCGGTTTACACTCTCATGGGAGGAGAGAATTTCGCTCTCACTGGAGGGAGAGATTTTTTCGTAGATGTGTATGGTTTCAAATAGTTTATAAGTATTTTATTAGTTTATTTGGATTAAACTTAGTTGGATAGGACTGCTTCGGGTTGTACTTGACTAGACCAAACCATCAGTCTTTTGCACCCTGTGGCTAATATGGATGGGAGAGAAGAGGCGGGAGCCAGGAATGCATGGATGAGCAAATCTTCCTCCCCACTTTGCCCGTGATGTCCCTTCCGTTTCAAACTCCGCTGAGCACCTCTTCCATTAAACACCAACAACATTCATTTCGGTCGCTGGTATGTATTTCTTCCTCCATCTTGTTTTCACTATTTCTTCTTCTCTTTTTGGTCTCTCAGATCTCTTCCCCTTCATCTGCAAGGTCAATATCTGTTTCCTTCTTCCTGCAAGTTCAAACTCAGGGGCTCCAAACAACCTTTTTGTTCTTCCGATTCTATGACCTTCTTTTTGATGGATTTATTAGCAGCTATGTATGGCGACCCATTCTCTTCCCTTTGCCATCCTCTTGACTTTCTTGATCCGCCTTGCTTTCCTCTTTTTCTCGGCCTCCTTCCTGCTTTCTCTTTTTATTTTCTTATACAAGATTTATATATTGGGTCTGGTTCTTTGCTCATACTTTTGATTTTGTCTTTTTTCTTTTTTGGGCATGTCTTATTTTTGTTCTATGTTGGCTGACTTGGTGATGGTGATGGCACATCGGTGAAGAAGATGCCAATGAAGAGATTATTCGGCCTAAGAATTTTTGCAGACAATATGGGGTAATAATGATCATTTATTCAGTACAGTTGTGGAAAAAAAAAATTCAGTCTGGGTGATGAAGCAAAGAGGTTTAGTTATGTTGTTTGATATTTGATAAAGTCAGTTATATTGTTGGGTTGTTGGTGTTTTGAGTAATAGTTGTCTGGAATTTTGAAATTATGTAAGTGATGGACTGTTATATGAACTTCAGATTATATTGAGATATGAAAGTCAAATATTAGAGTTAGACGAAGGCCGGCTTGGGAAAGAGTCGATCATCTTTCTCATGACGAGAGAAGGGAAAAACTGAATTTGCGTGATGAAGTTATGTGATTTTCCACAACTGTTTAGATGAAATAAGTAATGATATTGGTTTAATTGGTGAGTTATATGCTCCGCAGAGGATTTACATCATGAGGCACATTGTGGTGAGAATAATATGGTATGTTGCAATATTGAAATTTACTTATAGACAATTGAGTCATTAGAAATTAATACAATTTAAAGTTTGGTATTTTCATATGTTAGAGACAACAAAATCATTTTTATGGATCTGCTGGACGGTGATCTTCCATTGAACACTATAGTGATAAGACACAAAGACTTACTCATACGATCCTACATATATCGTTGGGGTTGCCTACATGTGACATCCTTTTTCATGGAGGCCATGCTTAGAACTTATCAGCCAGCTCAAAAGCAAATACACAATCTGCCTGAGTACGAAGGTAGTAGCAGAGGAGGAAGACTGCAGTTGTCCAATGTTATTGTCGAAGGGATGTCTATCATTCAGTTCTACTACCTAAATCAGGTAAAAGTTTTATTGCAAAAATAAGGATCCATCATAAGGCTTCTCATGTAAATATTTTTTTGTATAAGAATACACTTTAGAGTTGTACTTAAAACAAAATTGCTCTGGGTTATATTACACAGTAGATTAAACTCAATCCTACGGCTCACGGGATTTTAGTTTTCTGTGAATTGAACTTGAAGCTGTACAGCATTTATTTAATTCACGTGGTTTGCTCAGGTTAAAAAAATTCATGTGGTTTGCATATACAAGTTTTCTTGGACTTTTCCTGAAGCATAGCAGATTTGAAGCAGAGATGCTTTGAATAGAAAATTTCATATTCACTTTATTTTATATTCTTATTATTGCTGCCATTTTTTTGGTTACAGAATGAGCATGCTAAAAAAGCTCATTACTATCATGGTTGAACACACTGCTGTTTTGACTATGGGTATTGACCGTGTGCAACTATCAATCGCAATTAGCTGCTGCAATGTATTATGTTTAGCATTTTATCAGGAAAGCTTATTTTGCATATTGCAAAAGTTAATCTTTTTTTCCTGTGCATGTTAGAAGTTCGCTGGATCAGTCTCAGATTTAATGGCGTTCTCTGATGAGATTCATTGGCTATAGCTGAACATCTCTACACAGGTAGTTTTCCTTCTTTCCTACTAATTCAATTATGTTGGTGTGATAAGCTGAAAGCGTCTTACTCCATTTCGTTTTTGTTCGGTGGGTTTTAATATTTAGGTCATATTATTTGAAGAGAATATTTGTTCTTCCATTTCTGTTACATGGGTGGTTACTTGCTTTTGGAGTTTATTTTGGCTTCAATCAATTAAATGTCTTATTCTTCATCTAAATAGTAATACCATCCATTAAATTATATGGAAGACAAGTAACTGATATTCGCACTTGATATTATGGGGACATTAAGATTAAGAACAAGCAAAAATGCTATCACTTTGAAGAATTCCGTGAACCTTACAAATCAATGGCATTGAGGTATCTGGTCCTTTACTATTTGATGATTCAATTTGAATATTTCTTTTACTGGGCTCCATTATTTGTCAGAGACATTGATTGGTGTTCTCATATCTATCTGTGCACAATTATTATTTTCAGTTTTGATTTGTTCTCAATGATATTATTCACAGATATTAAGAATTAATTTATATGGATCATCTTGAGGTGTGATAATTATAGTCATGTCTACATGTGTGGTTGTTGGTAATGCTTCCTTGGCTTTCTTATGTGTTTCATAAAAGTGGTCCCGGCACATACCTATTTATTGGTACCTGCTGTTTACTAAGCAGCTTTAACATTAAATGAGTCCCAAAAATTTGATGGTTCTTACAGTGGTCAAAATGGTTCATAAGTGAAGTGGATTTCATGTGAGCAACATGCATAAGTTACGAGCATGGTAGACCTTACTTGGTGGGCTGATCTTACAGAGAATTCGTCTGACAAATTTATGATTTTGTAGCCTAAGTTTATCATTTTGGTGGGTTATTTTTGACAAAACATGGTTAGATTCAGTGTAAATTTGGTGTTGTATTTTTATTTCATGCTTCTATTTTCTTAAAGTTGATCCCGCAGGGAATATGCACGTGTCCAAGTTTAGTTCGTTCCTTATTTTTCATCAAAGTAGAGGGATGGTTGACCATGAAGGTACGGTGTGCAGGCTGGAGCTAATTTGGAGTCATTGAAGATATGTCATTCTAAAGCGCAAAAAACATTAGCAGCATTAATTTACAGGTTCAAAATTTTATTTTATTTTAATTATTCTGATATTTTTATTTATAAATATGTAAAACAGAAAAATAAATTTTATGATTTTTTCCAATGAAGGTTTCAACCTGAAATTTTAAAAGAAAACGTTTAGGTTTTGACTTTCTAAATTAAATCTACAACGTCAAGAGATCCCACAAAGATGGTGCTTGTTTATGGATATGTTGTGGTTGCAACAATCGTCACGGCCATTAAAGGCCTCCCTCTGTTGGACTGGCCTTTGAAAGTCCGAAACTACACTCCCCCCCCCCCCCCCAAAAAGGGCGGCCCAAAAAAAAGAATAAGGTGAAGGAAAAGACTTAAACTTCAATATACAACTGTTGCAATAAAAATTATTTTTTCTAAGGTTAATTCAAACACACTCAAAGCCAAACATATTTTTTTAATAAAGAATTATATCTAAACCTAAATCACATTACTCAAACTTCAATTTGTAAAAGTCAGTTAAATAAAAATAATTTTTACTAACATTAATTCAAACAAGTATTTTTGTTTTTCGGGGACAAACAATCCAAACAAGTTGAAGCTTCATTAGCATTAACATATTTTGCTTTAACCAACTGCCCATTAGTTAAAGTGGGGGAAATTATAGACAATTATCGTAAAAGAAAATTAATTAAGAAAATTAATCACTAATAGGTCTTATAAAATTAAGTTATTACTAATAATTAGTACAGAACCCGCACAATGTGCAGGTGTGAATAAGATAACATTCATGGGGCAACGAGAAATAAGCTAAGAATTAAACTTAGAATTATACTTAAGATATACACATGTATGCATATTACCAAAGTAGCTAAAAAAATGCATATGCGACATATGGGTGCGAATGGAATGTCCTTTTTTGCAGCATATGAAATATATAAATTTTTTCCAAAAATATTTTTGTGGACTATTTAGTTTTCCCAAATAATAAAGACCATTTGTTCTAATTTGATTGAATTAAAATTATATTTAAATATATAAATTTAAGTATCAAAGCTTTCTCCAATATTTTACTTGGACTCATTCATTAAACGAATGAATTTAAACAATACCATGGATTATTGATTTAAAAGGATCAAGCTATGCAAGGTCCCAAGTGCTCTGAACTAATAATAACTTGTAAGATGATGCATGAATTTGTAAATATGTTAACATTCATGCATTCAATATTATTTTTTTAAGTGTTAAAACATGCCAATAAATCATTATGAATGCGGGAAATAACAATTTTAACCTGATTCAACTACAAATCATTAGATAACAATCAGGAACAAAATATGTGTTAAAAAGGGTAATAGTGTTATTAGCTAACTGAAATAGACTCTGTATAAAAGGGTTTAATGTGATGTTGCAGTGGGCATAGAATGTGTTATCCTCACCAATGAGAAGGAGGATAACTTGGGCCTCTCTCCTTAATCCCAATAGTCTTGGGTTGTTGATTAATCTCTTAAGTGGGAGATTTGGTTAATCTTAAGAGGATTATTGTATCTTGTTGATCATTAATGACACTTCGAACTTTTTATCCTTGCTTCTTTACATGGTATCACGCCCAGGTCCTCTCTGGGCCACAAATACTGAAGCCCATGAAAATGATTCTTGAATTATCACCATAGTTCAGATCTTGAAGCACCACCCAGTTCAATCGCAACGACGTCGTTGCCGTGTTTGGAAGATTGGGAGTCTTTGTCCTTCGGTTCACCATCTCTCCGACCGGCGACCACGATCATCTCTGCCCTAATCGCCTCCCACATTCAATCGTCAGTAAATATCCGTGTCAGGGGGATGGATCATGGTTGAAGCATCGGTAGATCAAGGTGTTCAAGACTCCGGCGTTTCTCTACCCTATGGTTCTTGATCTTCTGAATCGATGCTTGCGTCACAATTACAAGTATTTTTTGCATGTCACTCTCTTTGCCGTCAACCACTTGACTTTGCCACTGCAAGATCTGCCTTTCACGTCTCTGCTATTCCATTCATCTTCACCGCAGCTATAGAGCGACAAGGATATTGAAGAAAGAAAAGGAAAGCATAAGTCCTTTCGCAAAGCTTGATTATTGCCGATCTAAATAGAGGTTCTATCTGTGTGCCAACTTCTGCCCATTTTTCCTACTATGCTTGCCGTGGAAGAGTTATCAGATTCTCGTAGTTAGTGCCAGGACATGATTGGATGATGGGCTGTGAAATTCTTGATTGAATTCAGGTCGTTCACAATATTGTTCTTCCCTGTTCGCTTAATGGTTCCTGATTGTGTTTCTTCACTTGCTAGCAACAGTTACATAAGGTAGATCAATTTTTGGTACAAGAGTTGTCATTCTGCAACACAGCAGATTCAGATTATGAGAATTCGCCTAGATGAAATCACAATGTTTTTCAGTTTTTATCTTCATGTACGGATTCACAAGCACTTGAGTTAGGGAAGGGGATAGAATATGTTTTTGCATTTGGAGAAGATAATAGAAACAGCAGCAACCCTTGACGATGTTACTTTCATTAGACTGCTTTCAACTTGTTGCTCATTTAAACAGAGGTGCACAGTTGATCTGTTCTAAAATTTTCACTTGGAGTATTATAGATTTCAAGAAGTAAATGTTATTTCAACTCCCCTCCATTTATTTATGTTGTTGGGGCTTGATGAAGCAAATGTGATGGGAGGTCATGTAGTAGTACTTCTAGTAGTTCCAAAAGTTCAAGTAACGATTCCTCTTCTTCAGGTGATTCTGTAGCAAAGAATGGGCACTTGTATGAGCAAGGCTCTTAAGACACATGATGATCAAGATGGATATGGGGTGGCGGATTGAGAATTGAACCCTGCATGATAATTATATACTTGAGGAGGTGAAGATTGAAATAGAAGAAGGCTGCAGCTTGTTTTAGTCCACCATGGAACATGCAGATTCTTGGGATCCCACAGAGGACATCATCGAGAAGAGAAGTTTGGTGATTCCACGGTCAAATGTAGGTCAGGGGCAGCACGAGGAGGACATGGAGGTGATTACGTGCTATTAATTCAAGGGCACGTGTTATATTGCGTTCTCCTCACCTATCAAATTCAATTTGAGATCTTCATAATTTGTTTGGCGGACCCACATAAAAAGACAGGGATAGGAGGAGTAATTGATTGAAGCTGTGGATGCTCTCATATACCCAAGGCTGCATCATGATCATATAGAAGCCGAGTTGATGAAGATGAGTACAGTAATTGT